TTTTAATATTGCTTGTGTTTTCTGTTTCTAAGAGGGGTATTTTGTTTATTCCTTTTTAATATTTATATACTTAGTATTTTTAGCTTTAAATATTGCCTTTTAATTATGTGTGCTCCCTTTGTAAACTCATTGTTTTGTTCTTAAATGTTGTCTTTAACGGTATAAGCTGCCCTGGATCAGGAAGGTAAAAATATTTTAAATAAATTAAAGAAATAAACATATTCACTAATTTCATCGTTTAGAAACATAAGCCTCACATGTTCTCATATGACATTTCCCAGAAGCATTAGCTAGTAGATGGGGTTTCTGGAAGTTATAGTCCACAATCATTTGGTACCATAAATTAAGAAACCACCCAAAACTAATTTGGAAGCTTTATCTTGTGACAGTCTGCCAATTTTTAATATTATTACTAACCATTACATTATTCTAAAAAAAAACTCTAGTGCCAAACAATGCAGTTACTCAATGTAAGATGCCTGCAGTAATAAAGAGAAGGAGGAGGAGGAGGAGGTCAGTAGATCATATTGTTAGTCTGGATATTATTATCAGGGGGGGGAGCCAAGATTATAACATAGTAGGCAAGGTTACCTCTAAGTTAGGTGTGTGCATGCAGATATGCACCTCTGCCTTCCTCTGCACAACTGTCCTCCTCCTCCGCATATATCACATGTTACAATCGCAATGGAACCCAGAGCACGGGAGGGTGGAGTTGAGTGTGAACACAGGGGCAAAATCGCGCACGAGAGAGAGTTGGAGTCCCGCCCAATGGACCTGAAAGTTAGAGAGTATGTTGATAGTAGGTTCTCACCCCCAACCTGAAAGTTAAATATAGCTCCCAGGATACATTGATCTCCTTTTCATTGTTGTATGCCAACTGCTTGGAACAGATGTTAATTATGCTAGTAACGGTTGCTTTTCATGTGGATACATTTCAGACAATTATGTGAACAGCTTAGGATCTTGGCAAATTAGTTAAAATTATTTTATCATTATGTGCTTGTTTGCATTTGTAAAAGCTAGCAATTAGAGTCTAAAAATGGCTAGTGACTGAAAACACTTGCCGCTGCAATGATTTTGTTCTATTCTTGTGGCATATTAGACAGATACTATCTGTCTTGGAAACACTGGTTGAGAAACAGCATACCGTGTGCTATCTAAATGGTTTAGTATGCATCAATTAATCAGGGGATTAATGTAATTATTTTATGCACCCTGAATCTGTCTCCTGTTGACTTTCATTTGTTACTATTGAAATTGGTACATACGTTTTCAGACATCTCATACTTTTCCAGGTCTTACAATACTTCACCTAATTTACCACTACTGTACTTTGAATCCTTACACATTTTGCTCTTATATCAGGGGTCCTTAACCGCCGGTCCGTGGCCCGGTGCTGGTCTGTGGGCCTCGCAGAACCAGATCATGGAGAGAGATCTCCCACCCACCCCTGCATGCACACATGTGGGCATGGTGCGTTTGCACACATGCACAGGTGAACAGGCACATTCACAGGTGGACATGGCGCATTCGCAGGTAGGTATGTTGTGCCTGCCCATCCGACTCACTCGTGAGCAAGCCGCTTGCGAGTGCAGCATGCTCATCCACAAATCTATCTTGCGTGTGCATGTGAGTGCGCCACGCCCACCCACGAACATGCCACATCCACACACAAGCACGGGGAGTACCTCCACCCCACACGGACCTCACCCCACAACCAGTCCACAATTCCAAAAAGGTTGGGAACAATGATTTAGATGATTTATGGAAATGTAAAAGTAGGAATCCCTTCATGGGTGGCTGCCTTGTTGTGGCGAAAGGACTTGAGTAATTCAGAGAAGCTATGAGCTATGCCATACAGGGACACCCCACAAAGATGACCCCCTCAGGTCAGAAGGCGTCCAACATGCTACTGAGGAACAGCGGAGGACAAGTACAAGTTGCACCAGTGGTTGGAAGGACAAGTACAAGTAGCACCAGAGCTAATAAAGTGGTTGGACCGAAGCCGAAAGGACATTCAGCTGCGGATGCGTCTGGAAGTGAAATGAGAGTCCGATGCTGCAAAGAAAAATACTACATAGGAACCTGGAATGTAAGATCTATGAACCTTGGGAAGCTGGATGTGGTCAAACAGGAGATGGCAAGAATAAACATTGACATCCAGTGAACTAAAATGGACTGGAATGGGCAAATTCAATTCAGGCAATTATCATATCTACTATTGTGGGCAAGAATCCCATAGAAGAAATGGAGTAGCTCTCATAGTCAACAAAAGAATGGGAAAAGATGTACTAGGATACAATCTCAAAAATGACAGAATGATCTCAATACCAATCCAAGGCAATCCAAGGCAGACCTTTCAACATCACAGTAATCCATGTTTATGCACCAACCACCGATGCTGAAGAGGCTGAAATTGACCAATTCTTTGAAGACTTACAACACCTTCTAGAACTGACACAAAGGAAATATGTTCTTCTCATTATAGGGGGCATGCTAAAGTAGGGAGTCAAGAGATAAAAGGAACAACAGGGAAGTTTGGCCTTGGAGTTCAAAATCAAGCAGGGCAAAGGCTAATCGAGTTTTGTCAAGAGAACAAGCTGGTCATCACAAACACTCTTTTCCAACAAGAGGCAACTCTGTACATGGAGATCACATTGATTATGTTCTCTGCTGCCAAAGATAGAGAAGCTCTATACAGTCAGCAAAAACAAGACCTGGAGCTGATTGTGTCTCTGATCATCAACTTCTTATAGCAAAATTAAAGCTCAAACTGAAGTAGGAAAAACCACTGGGCTAATCAGGTATAATTTAAACCCAATCCCTTATAAATACAGGTATAATCAAAACCAAATCCTTTATGATACACAGTGGAAGTAAAGAACAGATTTAAGGAAGATTTGGCAGACAGAGTGCCTGAAGAACTATGGATGGAGGCTAGTAAAATTGTACAAGAGGGAGCAACAAAAACCATCCCGAAGAAAAGGAAATGCAAGAAAGCAAAGTGGCTGTCCAAGGAGGCCTTGTAAATGGCAGAGAAGAGAAGGGAACCAAAATGCAAGAGAGATAGGGAAATGGTTGTTCTGCGTTTTTCAGGCTCTTTGGCTGTGTTCTGAAGGTTGTTCTTCCTGACGTTTTGCCAGTCTCTGTCGCCAGCATCTTTGGAGGACTGGACTTTAGAGGACTGGAGAAGGAACTCTGGATTACGGTTGCCGGAAGAAATATCAACCACCTCAGATATGCACATGATACCACTCTGATGGCAGAAAGTGAGGAGGAATTAAAGAACCTCTTAATGAGTGTGAAAGAGGAGAGTACAAAAAAATGGTCTGAAGCTCAACATCCAAAAAACCAAGATCATGTCCACTGGTCCCATCACCTCCTGGCAAATAGAGGTAGATATGAAGGCAGTGACAGATTTTACCTTCTTGGGCTCCATGATCACAGCAGAGGGTGACAGCAGCCATGAAATTAAAAGACACCTGCTTCTGGGGACGAAAGCGATGACAAACCTAGACAGCATCTTAAAAAGCAAAGATATCACCTTGCCAACAAAAGTCCGCATAGTCAAAGCTATGGTTTTTCCAGTAGCGATGTATGGAAGTGAGAGTTGGGTGATAAAGAAGGCTGACCGCTGAAGAATTGATGCGTTTGAATTGTGGTGCTGGAGGAGGCTCTTTTGAGAGTCCCCTAGACTGCAAAGAGAGCAAACCTATCCGTTTGGAAGAAAATAAACCCTAAGTGCTCACTGGAAGGACAGATCCTGAAGCTGAGGCTCCAATACTTTGGCCATCTCATGAGAAGAGAAGACCCTCTGGAAAAGACCCTGGTGTTGGTGTGAGACAGAGGGTGAGAGGGATACTGCACTCACTGGAGAGCCGTCCCTACTCAACAGCAAAGCTAAGGAAGTGGAACCCAAACCCACACCAGAGCCTACAGAGAAACCTCAGCAGGAGATAGAGATAGAGCAGTTGACGGAGGACATGCAGAAAGTGATGATGGGGGAGGTTCAGGGGGAAAAGGCAGGAAGAGAGAGAAAAAAGAGGGTGGAGCTTGAAGCAGGAACAGGACAGATAGAGAAGAAGGAAGTGCAGTTACCACCTGGTTGGGATTGGGTCTGGATGCAGGACCCTTGGACTGGATTATGGGAGAGATTAAGAGTTACAGGGAGGATCCTGGGAGAGTTGAGACCCCGATGGACGGATCCTATAGGATGATGACTTGGACGAGGAGACCATTCCTCTGCTGGAAGGCCCACCGGGGCAGACCGTAAAAGACTGGGTTTCCGCTGATTTACCGGGGCCATGGAATTATAGTTTTGGAACCCCATTCCTGTTTGAAGATTGGAAACCCCTTCCGGACCTGTTGGCAGAAGGAGAAAAGACTCATAATCATGTTCCAGACAGTTTATTGTTAAATACACCAATAAAGCTTTCACCTATTTCGAAGCAGCAAAAATCGACTGATTTCTTTGAACCAAATATGGAGCCAAAAGGCGAATCCTCACAGTTGGGAAAGTGTGAAGGCAAGAGGAGAAGGGGACGACAGAGGACGAGATGGTTGGACAGTGTCATCGAAGCGACCAAAATGAATTTGACCAAACTTCGGGAGGCAGTGGAAGACAGGAGGGCCTGGCGTGCTTTGGTCCATGGGGTTACAAAGAGTCGGACACGACTTAACGACTAAACAACAACAATAAAAATAAGACAGAAAAGTAAGAAACAAAATGTAGATTATACATAGGAACAGTCACTGTTTTAATATCCTTTTATCTCCTGACAGAATACACTTTGAATACACTCAGAATGTATTCAATGCTTAAAACTAGTCACTGTTTTAATATCCTTTTATCTCCTCACAGCTTTGAATACACTCACAATGTATTCAATGCTTAAAACCTTTTGTTACCATAAATCAATATCTGCTAAGTTTAGAGATGCTTCAATCTAACTTTGTAAGACTTCCACAGTTCTATTGTTTCCTTGACAACAATGATACAGATGCTGCTATCACTATGGGAATGGTTCTTTTGAATGAAGCTGCTACCTCCAAAGGAGATGTTGGAAAAAGGAGAAGTAAGTTGTTTTTAAAAAGTTGTTTTCAGATGTATCTGTGACTTTTGCTGATCTTCATGGAAACTGAAAAATGTGTTAATAATTTCTCAAGCATTTGTAAGTGTTTACTCACTGGTAAATACATGTCTATATGTTTACAGTATAACAGCACTGATGTGGAATCCAAACAGTACACGGCCCATGGAATAAATTTTCAGTGTGGCCCACTTGTTAAGTCAATTGCTTCATGTATTCCATTGATTCAGATAGGCCTACTCTAACTGAAGCTTACAATGCCAATTAAGTCACAGAGTAGACTTGTTTGAATTAACTGAACGTATGGAGGAGTTGACTCACCAACTCCTCTTTGACTCAGCAGTCCTATTCTTCCTGTGTCTTCTCCAGCTAGGACAGGAAATCAGTTCTGTATGAACCTTCCCTGAAATTTGTGTTCCAGACTAGTAACTAAAGGTTTGGAATGAATGCTGGGCATTAAAGAACAGGGCAATATTTGCAAGTGGAGGCTTCATGGAAGCAATAGGTTTCACTTTGCTTTTTAAAAAGACACACACACACCTTTGTTTAGTCACAGCAGTGGCGTTGTTCTTCTCGACAACCAGTCCAAGCACCAGTGCCTTTTTCCTCTCAGTGGCCACTCAGAAAACTGTGTCACAAGGTGGCATCATTCCAGTGGGCATTGTGAATGGAAATAAGAGTCCCTGCTGGCAAGCCCACTGGTAGGTGCCATTTCTTTTCTACTGCATCCTTCAACCAGTGCTACCTCATGACAGAACATCTCTCTGCAATGAAGTGAAGGGGACTTGTGGGTCCCAGGAGATGGCGACAGCAGTAGCCGTGCTGCACTTGGCCACCTTTCCTAGCAGGAAACCAGCCAAAGAAACGGGGAAGCTGTTCACACAGTCATAGCTTCAGTTTGCCTGGGCTAAAGCAGTGGTAGATGTGCTGCAATTTGAAGTCACTTTATTTTAAACTGCTAGTCTGCATTGTTTCACTCGGCTCACTGTCAGCAACAGATAGCCCTTTTCAGGATTAGGTGCTTGAGTTCAAAGTAGTCAAGCCTTGGAGCATTTTTATAAGGTGTGTTTTTATAAATAACAGCTGCATTGGGGCAAGCAATAAATCACCCCAGCATGCAATGCTAGTCCTTTAAAATTGCATCCATTTCTCCCAAAGTAAATAGTGTAGCCCTGTAAGGCCAGGAGTTCAGCAACAGAGTTCAGTCCTCTGTCTCCAGTAGCTTCTTTCCAACTACCAATTGAGTTCTTTTCAGCCCCTATGTACGTCATTTTTAATCTGCTCTTATAGCTGGGAACAGGCAAGAAGATGGAACTCTTTAGTTAAAATTACCAGTTTTGAGGAATGGATCACTTGGATGTGAATGTCACTTTAAAAGTAACATACCGTGTTTCCTTGAAAATAAGATAGGGTCATATTAATTTTTGCTCCAAAAAACGCATTAGAACTTATTTTCAAGGGATGTTTTGTTTTTTCATGTACAACAATCTACATTTATTCAAATACAGTCATGTCATCTTCTTCTGGTTGCTGCACAATGGCGACAACCAGTCCAAGCACCAGTGCCTTTTTCCTCTCAGTGGCCACTCAGAAAACTGTGTCACAAGATGGCATCATTCCAGTGGGCATTGTGAATGGAAATAAGAGTCCCTGCTGGCAAGCCCACTGGTAGGTGCCATTTCTTTTCTACTGCATCCTTCAACCAGTGCTACCTCATGACAGAACATCTCTCTGCAATGAAGTGAAGGGGACTTGTGGGTCCCAGGAGATGGCGACAGCAGTAGCCGTGCTGCACTTGGCCACCTTTCCTAGCAGGAAACCAGCCAAAGAAACGGGGAAGCTGTTCACACAGTCATAGCTTCAGTTTGCCTGGGCTAAAGCAGTGGTAGATGTGCTGCAATTTGAAGTCACTTTATTTTAAACTGCTAGTCTGCATTGTTTCACTCGGCTCACTGTCAGCAACAGATAGCCCTTTTCAGGATTAGGTGCTTGAGTTCAAAGTAGTCAAGCCTTGGAGCATTTTTATAAGGTGTGTTTTTATAAATAACAGCTGCATTGGGGCAAGCAATAAATCACCCCAGCATGCAATGCTAGTCCTTTAAAATTGCATCCATTTCTCCCAAAGTAAATAGTGTAGCCCTGTAAGGCCAGGAGTTCAGCAACAGAGTTCAGTCCTCTGTCTCCAGTAGCTTCTTTCCAACTACCAATTGAGTTCTTTTCAGCCCCTATGTACGTCATTTTTAATCTGCTCTTATAGCTGGGAACAGGCAAGAAGATGGAACTCTTTAGTTAAAATTACCAGTTTTGAGGAATGGATCACTTGGATGTGAATGTCACTTTAAAAGTAACATACCGTGTTTCCTTGAAAATAAGATAGGGTCATATTAATTTTTGCTCCAAAAAACGCATTAGAACTTATTTTCAAGGGATGTTTTGTTTTTTCATGTACAACAATCTACATTTATTCAAATACAGTCATGTCATCTTCTTCTGGTTGCTGCACAATGGTGAAGCGCGGGGTTTCACTTAACTGGGCCTTATTTTGGGGGGTAGGGCTTATATTACGAGCATCCTGGAAAATCATACTAGGGCTTATTTTCAGGTTAGGTCTTATTTTCGGGGAAATAGGGTACTTGTGTGGCCTCAAGGAGTAGAGGGATTTAGTATTCCCTCCCTGAACTGGGACCCAAAAGCACTTAGTTGTAGAAGAACTGGCATAGTAACATGATTTGTAGCTGAGAAACTGACAGTGGGCAATTAAGATGTAAGATTTTTTTTCCACCAAGAGTGATGCAAACATGAAATAATGTCTCTTGAAGAATATAATTCCAAGTCCATTACTTCCTCTAGCAAAATTTCAGTGCCATTAAATGTTTCCTACATCTCCTCATTCAGTTGCCTTTTTGTTTAAATCGGTATTTTCTTGTCATTTGTGGTAACAAGAAATAGGAATCAGCTGGAAATACATGTTTTTCCAAAGTTTATAATATCTCCGATAACACAAGGAGAGTGACTAGGGACAACCTAACTAACTTTATATATTTCAAAATGCACTTGTAAGGAAGTGATTGTTCCTGGTATTGAATATCTGATTTTTTTGAGAGAATCTTAACGATTTCATTTTTTAATTTTACTTTTAATTTTTGGTAGTAATATGCCTGGTGGGATTGGGCCTCGTCGTTTTCTTCTTCAGCTTCCTACTGTCGATATTCCGCTCCAAATATCATGGTTATCCATACAGGTAAGCTACAAATAACAGCTGTCTATATCCAAATAATTTTTTTTCAGCCAGCAGCATGCTCCTGTGGATTGACTCTGAGATTCATGAGATTCATAAATCTAAGGGGTTTATTCAGATGATCACTTTAAAGCATCTCGTTTCTGCATGCTAGACTTGTCAGGATACTTCTGTGGGTCTCAAGAAAAATGTACTACTGTGATATAGTCCATCTGTAAGTGTGAGTAAGTAGCTGTACCTATAGGGTGGCATGTGTATGAAAGAAAGGAAAGCTTAACCTGCAGAAGGGGATGCTTCAATAGGAGAGAGGTAACACCAGCTAGTATCAAGCCAGAAACTAAAGAGTGTTTCATCTTCTTAGTCCACATAAAAGACGTCGCAAGGCTGAAGATTTCCTGTTCAAGGTTGAAAACTGAAAGATTTCCTATAAAAATATTCTATTTGCAAACAGACTTCAAAGTTACAATGTGTCATAGTGATTGGATTTTGTTGTCACTTCTTATCAGAGATGACATGGATATGATGTAATAAGTGTCCATGCGTTCCAAACCAGGATGCCGAATGACAGTGTTTGTTTGTGGGGGGGGGGAAGAATGATCATGTTTCCTTGCAGTTATAAAGCATGATTATAAACAAGCTTTTATTTAAGGGGAAACCACTGGGTCCTATTTATTTTTGCTGCAGTTTTGACCAACTGAGGGTGTGATCACACCAGCAAAATGTTCCCCTGTGGTTATGCAACTTTTAATCATGTTCCTGTCATGCTTTGAGATCACATGGCATTTATTCCAGGATGTGCATCCCAATGTGTTTTGGGGTTACCAAGTCATTTCTTTCCAGCTCAATAAGAGCATAGAGCTTCCTGCTGGGACCGCTTGACAAAAGTTAACCAATGCATCGATGCACATGCCACAAAAAAAATTTTAAATAAAATTAAAGACATTTTAAAAGGACATGCACAGTGACAGTAGTTCAGAAATGTTACAGTAAGATCATTCACACATGCAGCAGTGCAACATTAAAAAAAAAAGATCCACAAGAACAGAGTAGACCATTGGTCTAGATGGGCAGGGTATAAATCTAATAAAATAAATAAATTGTTGTTTAGTCGTGTCCGACTCTTCGTGACCCCATGGACCAGAGCATGCCAGGCCCTCCTATCTTCCATTGCCTCCCGTAGTTGTGTCAAATTCATGTTGGTTGCTTCGATGACACTGTCCAACCATCTCATCCTCTGTCATCCCCTTTTCCTCTTGCCTTCACTATTTCCCAACATTAGGAGGGTCTTTTCCAGGGAGTTTTCTCATGAGATGGCCAAAGTATTGAAGCCTCAGCTTTAGGATCTGTCCGTCCAGTGAGCACTCAGGGTTGATTTCCTTTAGAATTGATAGGTTTGTTCTCCTTGCAGTCCAGTGGACTCTCAAGTGCCTCCTCCAGCACCACAATTCAAAAGCATCCATTCTTTGGCAGTCAGCTTTCTTTATGGTCCAGCTCTCACTTCCATACATCACTACAGGGAAAACCATAGCTTTAACTATGTGGACTTTTGTTGGCAAGGTGAGGTCTCTGCTTTTTAAGATGCTGTCAAGGTTTGTCATCGCTTTCCTCCCAAGAAGCAGGCGTCTTTTAATTTCGTGGCTGCTGTCTCCAACTGCAGTGATCATGGAGCCCAAAAAAGTAAAATCTGTCACTGATAAATAAAGAACAACAAAAAGTAGAAGCCTCTGGCCAAGCATGAAATCCTCAGTTAGCACACTTGCTGGTTAAATGATTTGCATCATGTGACCTCAAATTTAAATTGCGAAATCAAAGGGGAAGAACTGGAAAACATTTTGTTGGTATGACCACAGCCTGAGAGCCAGATCACTGTGTCATGCAGGAAATCTGTGACTGGATCTCCAAATATTGTATTTTTAAAAAGAAATGGGCCAGACTCTAAATTTTATAAAATCTGTAGTTCTGGGCAAAGCTTTATTTAAATGAGGGATTAAAAAAAACCATGTGGCTGTTCAGATATTGTTGAGTTAGAAATCTCGTGTTTCAACACTGGCTGTGCTGGGCTAGTAGAAGCTGCAGTCTAGCCATCCTGAAAGGACCACATGTTTTCCATTCCTGGTTTTAACATTGTGTGTCCCATAACCTTTGTCCTGTGCCATTTTAGACAAACGCACGTTCACATGACAAACACAGCTTCTGCAGTCTCATGGGGGAAAGTAGACAGCTAAATGGGTGATGCCATTTGGGTCAGGGAAGTACTGTGTAGGTTGAAGATTTAAACATCACCTTACACTAGTGCTGTTCCTTTTATCAAATTCAAAGCCCTTCAATTCTTGTCTGAAAGTGGCATGCCTTTTTTAAAAATATCAATACAGACATTGAAGTGGGACAGAAATAAAAAATTTGCAGTTTACCTTCTGGAGAGGAGTAATTTTAAAGATGATAGCATACAGTGGACCACTTGGGTGTAGCATGTGTATGAGGGTTGTTGAATCATCCATCAACACAGAGATTTTTTTTGCTGCTCTTTCTAATTTAGTTTGAATCATCCATCAACACAGAGATTTTTTTTTTTGCTGCTCTTTCTAATTTTGTTAGATGCCGCTTGTAATGAAAACAAGGAGTTGGATAATTAATCTAGATTTTAAGTCTCACCAAAACTGTCCATAAGGTTCTTAGAAGGAATATCTTTTTTGTGTGTGTTACAGTTAAGTGTATTACCATGTTTTATGTTCCATGTTATTTGTAAAATTCCCATCATAGTTTCCTGGCCACTCTTGTGCAAGTATTTCTACTGATGCTGGCTAAGTATTATGGGAGATACAGTTCAATAAATCTACAAAGCACTCCTGGAAGTCACTAGGTTTAGGGAGGCTGCTTTAGGAGGTAGCTTGCTAAGATCAGCAACACAGTGCAAGCCATGACAGTCATTTGGGGGCATTAAAGTTATTTCAGTGTATCATCAGACATCTTGCATTGCATCTTAGCACGTTGTAGTGTGATGTGTTAAGAGTGCATATTGTGCTCATTTTCTTTGTGTTGGCCTGTCCAGTCTTAACTGCTGAATTGTATTTGTACTCTAGAAAATGCTTATTCTCTCCTTCTTCTGAAACTTGAAGGGGAAAATTGGTAGAGGTGGCAAAGTTGTTTTTCAGACAGCTTGATTGTAACCTGAGAATCCGTGAATTGAGACTTCTGCCGCTGTAGAGGTTCCACCAAGAGTTCCTTCCAAAAAGTATCCTTGTTGATTTTCTAATGAAGTAACTTCAGGTTTCTCAGGAACAAGGTTTCAAAATAACTAGCTTGCAGTATACAGAACCTTGTGGCTGAACAAGATCACTCTATACTCACATCTTCGGTAATTTCTTTGTGCCACTACAGGCCTCTGCCTTTGAAATTAGTTTTGTTTTAAACCCTTTTTTTTTTCCCTAAGGCAGGTATAGAACTTCACAGAAATACTCATTCTCAAAATTGTCCTTCAGCTGTACTCTTACCACCTCTGCCATTCTTTTCTAATCATTGGAGTTCATCAGGAGCAGGAAGGGAAGAGAAGTGCCCACCCACCTTTGAGTTTCATTTTGAGTGAAGCAATTTTGTTCAGAGCTTTTTAAAACTATATACCTGGGAATTCAACTTTCTGTTTGCAGAGTAATTGGAATGGCACACCTAGTACTTATTGTTTAGGTGTGCTGTCTGGTGAATCTCTGGCGGCTGGCAGTATAACAGCCTTTACACCTAAATTTACAAGCTGCTCAGTCAATATTTTATAACTCTTCTGGCCTAGTTATCTGTTCCAGTGCCATGTCAAAGTCATCCAATATTACGCCCTTACACTTGGGGAGTTCTAACTCAACTCCCTGGGGTATCCTAGTCTCTGAACAAAGCATTGGTGGATTCATTAGGCATTTCATGAAATCAATGTTTGTCTCCTGCAGTAATCTTCAGTGGCTGTGCTGCAGTTTTGACTCTCTGCCTGTCTCCTTTAGGTTAAATATTCTCCTCCAGGCATGCATGTAACTCCCATTAGTTTTAATGAAAAATATATGTAAGTTTAAACACAACAGAGAACGCTAAGATGCCAAGTTACTTAAATAGGGTCAATGTTCTTTTTTTAAAAAAAAAAACTCCCCATGATACCATTAACTGCTCAACCATTGTCTAAGTTGTATCTATTATTTACTTTGTTATTATTCTTTTCGTCTGTATGTTCGTCTTCCACCACAGCTGTTTTCATCAGAGTAGAGTAGGCCAACTTTAATTATTGGGCAATTCCAGGCTTTCATACAGCTGAAGAAAAGAGTCCTGTAAAGCATCTATTTGGCAATGCCAAACAATCCAATTAATTACCCTCCTTTAAATGGGTTCACATTTCTGACCCAGGATCTCTGTTGATACACTGTAGACTCTGAGCTACATGCTGGCTGTAAAAGCCTCTACTGCAGTGGTTCTTAACCTTTGTTACTCGGATGCTTTTGAACTGCAACTCCCGGAAACCCCAGTCAGGACAGCTGGTGGTGAAGGCTTCTGGGAGTTGCAGTCCAAAACTCCTGAGTAAGCCAAGGTTAAGAACCAGTGCTGTAGAGCATCTATTTTGCAATGCCAAACAATCTAATTAATTACCCTCCTTTAAATGGGTAAGGATCACATTTCTCATATACATTTCCATCTGCATTCATATTATACCCTGCAGATGGTCCTGGCACCTACTGCTTCTGTGGAACCCACAAAGAAAAAATATCATCTAGATCAGTGGTCCCCAACCTTGGGCCTCCAGATGTTCTTGGACTACACCTCCCAGAAGCCTTCACCACCACCTCTGCTGGCCAGGATTTTTGGGAGTTGAAGACCAAGAACATCTGGAGGCCCAAGGTTGGGGACCACTGATCTAGATAGTATATCAGTTGTGGTATTTCCCCTATCTATGAAGGCCCATTCAAGGGAAGTGCTAAATATTTCACATGTAGCACATGCCATGGAACAACCCATTGGCATAGTTTTGTGTTATT